CCCCAAAACCCCAAAACCCCAAAACCCCAAAACCCCTCTATCCAAAACTATACTTGAAATATCCTAAAATTTTATTTAAGATGTCTATTTGATTTTCTTTCGATCTTTTGCTATCTTCTTTCTCTTTTCTTCCAAAGATTTATAACTCTTAGTGTTGAATTCATCCAGCTTCTTATCATAAAGCACAAAGACATCTGCCTTCTTCTCCTTAATATTTTTGTATCTGATATCCTTATTGATTCCTCTGTATTCTTTCTTATACCTCTGCTTCAGTTGCTATACAGTGAGGAGTGTCATACTCTGTTGAAATTGTGATGGTCAACATGAGTGAAATAATCCTTAATTGCTATATTTGTGATAAAAATGTACCTTTCTTCTCAAAAAGCCCATTTTGGCCGGTCCATAGCCTTTTCTCAGTCGCGACACAACTGATTTTGCCTGCATTTTTATTTAATTTCTTTTGCTTCTTCACGTTTTATAGGCAGTCTTTCCATCTATACTCGTAACTGAAAAGAGTACCTCTCTGTTCTTAGCCCTGTCGCGTTCATAATCTATGGGTTAAAAGAGCAAATACTGATCTTCTTCCTTTTCTTGGCGCTAAGAATTTATGTGAGTGATCTTACTTTCTGTTGTTGATATACATGGCATATTCAATTTCATCCATTTTGCCCACACTTTCTTTGATCTCAACAGGCTTGTTCATTTCAGACTATTTCATCAAGACAGAGGCTTACAAGAAGATCTAGACGTTTCTTTTTCTTCATTTTCTCTACAAGTAATTTCTGTACCAAGGATGGCTTGGGAACTTTAGCACCTATAGAGTAGAAGCACATTGTTACTTTTGTATTCCTGGGCTTTATTTTAGAGCCATTCTAAATTTCTTAGCCTTGTTGTTCACCTCCTCTTTGAAGTCCTGCTTTGCAGTCTTCTTTTTGTGCATGGCATTGTCTCCGTAGACCCTTCGATCTAGGTAAACTTTGGTTCCATTCTTGCTGAAAAACTCAGGCGTGGGCTCCTCATCATCTGAATTGTCTAAGTTGTTAGTAAAAATCGTACCAGAGTCTAGCTTTTGAATAGTCTTAGTCTCAGTTTTGGGCTCTTTAGAGTCATAATCTGCATAATGGCCGTTTAAAAAGTCATTGTTTTCCTCTACAGGGAAATTATCTATCTGAGTGATCTCTGCCCTCTGACATGTGGAAAGATAGACCTTCTTATGTTTAACTTTTGTTTCTAAATTATTTGAACTTATGGAAATACCTGAGTTACTCAGATGATTGTAGTGCCTATAAGCAGGAGTGAGGTTTCTCCTCCCCCATCCTGTATCGAAGATCCTCTCATTTTGTTGATTGATCTTTGGGAGGTTCTGAGAATGATACTGATATTGTATTTTCATGTGCTCTAGATCGTTGTTTTGAAGAAAAAAATTACCATTACTGTCAGACTCTGACTCTTCATTGTTTGGTAGATTATAATTCCACATTTGCTTAATCATTTCTGTAGAGGATTGACTGTTTGAGCTAGACTCTTCTCGAAGAGGTACATTTTTATAAGTTGAAGAAGCTAGAGGAGGTTTCCCATTTACCTTCCTAAAATTTTGTACGAATAATTACATTGATTTTGGTTTTGCAAGAGCTTCAATATTCCGACTTCTCCTTTCTCCAGTAGCCAACACTGATTTCTGCTCCATAGATTTTTCGCAAACGCTCTGTAACTTCATATTCAATGTATCTATTGGCTTCGATCTTGATCTGGGTTTAGGCATCAGTTTATCAGCAGGTTTATGCCCTTTAGCGATATCGACTGGTTCTGAAAATTTGCCGTATTTATCGGGCCTACTTAATTCGAATCCATTCCCAAAGCCGTACTCATCATAATGCTTAAGGATATCTCTCAAGTTGTCTTTCAGTGGCAATAGCTGGTTGTTGAATAGAACTTGTCGATTGGAAGAATCAGTATTAGGATTTATCAAAGTAACAGCTCCGTTAAATTCATTCTAGGATGATAAATTGGTAGTAATACCTGCTTCAGTTTTGGTCTTGGCCTTCTATCCTTTTTCTTTGAAGATCTCCCAGCTTTAGAGTCTTCAGCCTGAATAGACTTTAGAATTGTCTGGTCTAAAGTTGGAGAAGAAATATTTCTATATTATTTCAGATTGAAATTTAATTGCTGCTATTACTTCTTGAATGAAGCTATCTTGTCATGTACATGCGATGAGATTTCCTTGTGCTGGAGCATTTCTTTAAAATGCATATGAGCCATTGCACTATAGATTATAAGTTTGGTACCTATTTCTGGACATTTAGTTTGATTAGATTCCTATCCTCAATCTGCTTCTGCTTACGTTCAGCAATTAGCTTTCCTTTGACAATAGAAGGACTAATTATTAAATCTTTGAAAGACATACCTTATATTTTTGTGCTTGAGTTCTAACTTTTGGCCAAATTTATTTGCCATCATCGCCCTTTCCTCGAGACTATATCTTGAATTACCAAAGATACCTTAGGATAAGAGAATATTTGGCAACTATCTAAAGATATGAGCAAATAAATACCGATGTATTTGTTATTTTCTGTCTAAGAATTCTTTCGTTTCCTTATTGTACTTTTTACTCCTACTTCCTTTGACTTCCTATGGATGAACATTTGAGACATACTTTTCTCTTAAACATATGGTTATCTGTGTGGTCTAATAGAAGTTCCTTCCAGTATTTCTTGCCCTCATCTTAATGTTAGCAGTTCACCATACCATTGTCATCTAAATAGGAATTTTTCATCAATATTTTTTGAATTCATGAGAATTGTGAGTTTCAAAGCAAATACGAAAAATATAGGGAATTACCATTGTAATTTTCATCTTCTTTTTTAAACTTATCGTCACCAAGAAGTTTGTCAAAAGCACGAGCCTGGCCTCTCTTCGCGTCTACCAATGTTGTGAACATTTTCTCAATATTTTATAAAACTCTGGGGTTTTGGGGTTTTGGGGTTTTGGGGTTTTGGGG